TAATAACACATTTTTAAATTTCTTCAAATAAGCCTTTAGATATATTAAAACAAAACAAACCCACAAGCAGTTTGATATTTTACTTCCTAATCTCTTGGTTGATCTTACCTTTGATATGTTCTTCTGAAAGTCTAGCGCGGAGCTGCTCAAGTTCTAGACAATGCTTTTTCTTCATTTCCTCAATTTCTTTTATATATTTGTCCGAAAGATCCATCTTCATTTTCATTAGGTCCTCCTTATACTGAAGTGCAAGGGAAGACCTTAAGGTATCTAATTCACACCTATGCTGTTCTTTGAGCTGCACTCGCAAACAGGCAAGTTCTTCCTACATAAGAAATGGATGAAAAACACACTTTTAGTTGTGAAGTAACCATGCTAGAAATGATTCAATGAAAATGCTATATGAACCACACTGTAAAGCACCTTTTTCACAGGCATATATATGCTTTCCCCAAACCTGCAGCTTTTGCTCTGTCATGGCCATTCTACTCTCTACTGTGACAACAGAGCACCCAGAAGTAAAGATACCCTGGAGCCATGACACAAAGCAGATCAGAGCCTTATGGGCTGTTCGAAAGCGTACCAGAGAGGGAAGTCTCACAAACATTTGGATAAAAAAATCCCTCTCACCTCTGAAAAGCTCCTCTTATATGTGCCTGAGAACATAGAAGTTATGATCTATGAACACAGGTTCATATTCATGAAACTAGATGAAAATACATGAAAATAGATGACTGAACAGAAGAGAGACTAAACTAGTGTCTCAAGTGGCAGCAGTAAAAGTCACAATTACTACAGAGTTCAAGACAAGAGAAACAGCATGAATTCTGCAACATGTGGGGAAGAGCTCTGATCAGAGCTCATACTTTATGAGGCACAGGATAATCCAAATGCAGGACAATTGCAAAACACCAAAGTTCTTCTGTTCTGCTATGGTAAGAACTATTTAAAGCTGATAATTTACAACAGACTTGACAAAGACTAATGAAGCCTTAATAAATGTCTCAAACACAACTTTAACTGTTTCCTAAAAATGGGAACCAGACATCAATTTTCATATGGGTAATGTAATAACTACTAGAGCTTTAATACGGCAAAATTTTACCTTATGTTGCTCCAGCTGTTGATTTAGTTGGTCAAGTATGACTCTCCTCTCTTTTTCAGTTGTCTCTTCAAAAACTGTGACAGAGGAACTAAGAGAACACATTTTTAGAAACTTAAGACCACACCACACGTCAAAAATTAAGTTAAATGAGCTTGTCAAACTTACAATATTGTACTTAAAGTAGCTACGGAGCAACCATAATAGCTATACAGGAAAATATCTTCCACATTCATGACTTTTTTCACTGGTATTCTAACTTTGAATCACCTTATCCCCAATGCCAACATCTTTAGAGGCTAACATCATCATTATATGAAAAATTTGGAAGCATTGGTCATAACCTGAGATTAAAGGAAACAGAATAGATCACCTGATATCCACTGCTTGATCCTGGCTCACATCTGACTCCAACAATGAATATTCCTTCAGTTCTTGCAGTCTCTGATGCAGCAAAGTCAGCTCCTCTCTGTAGTTTTCTTCAGCTACGCTCAATTTCTTTTCAAAATAAAGTCTCAATTGTTCTAATTCAGTTTCATGCTCACTTTTCCTTTGCTGTCGTTGCTGTTCAAATTCTTGCTTTAAACGTTCTATTTCCTCCACTTGTGATGCACGGGCCAGGAGCTGCTCTTTTAACTCTGAGATGGAGGCAAGAAGAACACAACATCTCACTGCATCTTTTTAAGTACGCATTTGGCTAAACTCATTCTGTGAGGATTAGCCATATTTTAGTTGTTGGGATTGCTGTAAAACAGTTTCCATGCACTACGGAAGATAAACTTTTGAAAGACAAGACTTTCTTTCCTCAGAAGACAGCAAAAATGTGTTCCCTGCTTACACTGCATTCGGAGAAACCAGTAGCATCGAAAGAATCAAAACTACCAGTAGATCATTAATCATTCACATTGCCTTTGTGTCCCAATTTTTAGTCAGTGACAGGCAGAATCCTGAAAAAAAATAAATCATCTCCACATCTGCTTGTGGTAGCAACCAGAAAGGCTAATTTCCTCTTGCACATCTATCAATTTTTCCTTTGCCTCAAGGGGTGGAGGAATTTAGCACAAACTATCTAGCAGAGAAGAAAACAAACAAACAAAACAAAAAAAA